GGCGCGGCAAGACGTGTGTGATCGCTGTTTCTGTGCGGCATGCGCAAGCAGTGGGCGACATGCGGCCTCGCCGCACGGCACCTAAAACGCAAGGAAAACGACTGCATCTGTTGACATAAGCTGGCAAGATGCATTCGTTGGTATTTATAGTAAATGGATGAATCTTTCCAGTTACTCCGGAAAGATGCACTCATTTTTTTTTCGCGTTTCGTGTGCAGTCTAGCGAGGCCCACGGACTTCGAACTCCTCGCTCAGAGGCTTTCCCAAAAGTCTTGCCACCAGTCCCAGATTCTTTGGGCTGCAGGGCAGTCATACCACAGGTGGGTTGTTGATCCGTATGCCCAGCCACATCTTTTACATTTAAGATCAACTTTCAGACCTCTTTGCACCAGATCAACTGCAGAGGGTACTATTGGGCGGCGTTCCAGCGAAACTGGAACTGGAAAAGGGTGGGGGCTACATAGCCCAAGCAGCCAGAGCTGTGGGATGTGAGGTGATCTGAAAGGGAGGAATCTATGAATCTTCGAGGACAGGGACATGTCTAACAAGGAGACCAGGAAAATTTTCAGATCGTCACTTAGATGCCTCATAGCATACTCACACTAGGCCCTCAAAATCGCAGAATCTCAAAATGAGCGGCCAGATTTAGTCCTCCCGTTATGAGGACTCGATCTGGCCGCTCATTTTGCGATTTTGCGAGTTTGAGGGCCTAGTGTGAGTATGCTCTTATTCAGGCAGATTGGAGAAGGAAAGGAAAGGGCCAACCGAATGCATGGTTCGGTGAAACATGGGGCATTGGGGGGAAATTAGCAAAGCTGTCAGGTTATAATCTAGTTCTGGATAAGTGGTTCTGGGCGGAGTAGGATAGTAGGTCTGTGTGAAGTAGGAACCTGGTACTCTGTTCAATATATCCTCAGGAGGAAGGCAGCTGCGCACCATATTGTGGAGGGAGTACTTGGTGGATTTTTATACAGTCCTACAAAAAGGATTGGCTGTCGCATTAGACAGCACGTACTTCGCCCAGTTATCGATGCCGAGCCTGAAAACGGGCTGCGCGCAGTTTTGCGCTGACCCGCCAGCGCAACAAAAAAAAATTGTTTTGGCTGGTGGCGCTAGCCTTTGAGGGTCGGTACCCCAAGCCTCCGGAAGTTGCGGGGCATTAACGACAATGCCCCACGGCTGATGCATGGGCCAAGTACTGCTGGTTTAAACCACCAGTACTTGGCCCAGCCATCGATGCCGAGCCTGAAAACGGGCTGCATGCCGTTTCGCGCCGACCCGCCAGCGCGACAAGAAAAAAATTGTTTTGGCTGGCAGCTCCAGCCTTTGAGGGCCTGTACCCCGAGCCTTCGGAAGTTGCGGGGCGTTAAAGACAATGCCCCGCGGCCCATGTATGGGCCAGTACTGGGTGTTAAAGAGAACACCCCGCGGCCCATGTATGGGTCATGTAAGGGAATTCAAGGGTAGATCAATAGGAAATAGATCAGGTGGTAGTTGAGGATAGATGGTTGCCTTATAGGATGGTAGGTTGCCATAATAGGGCTGGTGTGGTTTTCCAACCGTTTTTGTGTGGTTTGTTCCTTTTTGTTCCTAGATTGTGTGGCTTTATTGGTCTATGAAACTTTGGCCTGGACCCCATTGCCTGGCGGCTGGAAACTGATGTTGGCCGCAAAAAACGGCCCAGCGTGGTTGGAAAGAACTTCTCGCGTTTTGTTGGGACCCCACCGCCACCCTTGACTCTCGGCACTGGAAACGGATGGACATGCCCGAATAGGAAATCCCCCCGGGGTGTTTCCCGAAAAGGCAAGTCTGGTCGGGCTGTGGTCCATGGCCTTCTATCGGCCTGCACCAGGACATGTCCGTGTGTGGCCGTGCGCGACCCGCTGTGGCGGGTGCCGTACAAGTACCGTGCAGCACAAAACGGCCTCACGGGTCTGTGCATGGAAATTACCATTGGGAGCATCGGCGGCTGCCCCCGCCCCCCCAACACTCCTGCCGTCGGAACCACTTTTCCCGACCGGACCATCCAGAGTGGGAGTGCAGGTACAGAGCACCGACGGGAAGCCATAGCTGTCGACGAAGGAGGAGGGTTTGGCGAGGAGCGCGGATCCACGAAGGTTGTGTGCTCGTCATGTGGCCACGACAGCTGGTGTGCAAGGGTCGACGCCATTCCCATCACAGTCACAACATTCCCATGTATCCATCGGATGTGGGCAGTTCACCATGCCGTTCGTAAAGCGAGGGGAGCATGGATGGCCCAGACCCTCGGGCCCTTGGGAGAACCGTGCGACGACAAAAAAAAAGAGCATGTCCGCGGCGGCCTCGCGGTCCAAAAAACGGTCCACGACGAGGGTGCATGGTCCACGCCGTTCAGCCGTTGTCTGGAAACGGATGGACATGCCCCCCCCCTGCTCGTCTGGACGGCTCCTTGGAAAGGGAATGGAAAGCGGTCGGCGTTGAATTTCCAGACCGCCGACCGCGTAGAAACGCCCCGTCAGCATTTCCGCGACCTGCTTCCAAGCACGGTGGGGTCTGGAATTCCTGTCCCGGCCGACTTTCCACACCCGTTTCCAACACTGGTGGGGTCTGGAAAACACTACAGCGCCCGAACTTTTCCAGGCCGCCGGCCAGTGGGGTCCAGGCCTTTCTTTCTTTTTTTTTTTTTTTTTTTTTTTTCACTCGAGGCCGGGGACCTCACAATTCTACCCTGATCCAGCGGCCTAGCTCAGTTGGTAAGGCATGCAAGTGGCATTCAGGAGGTCTTGGGTTCAATCCCCATTGGCCTCATGTACGTTCCTGGGCATGCTTGGCGCCCGCCACCTAGAGATAGCCTGCTGCTGATGTTCATAGGGGGAGGGGTAATCGGGGAGGCACAGCGACTGCCCACACAGCGATTGCCCACTCAGATGATGCTCGGTCCCTCTGGTACCGGCTGTCCCGTGGCCGGTATCCCCCGTTGGGGGTTCCCTGAAGGCGATCAAGGCCACCCTGGGCTGAAAAGGCCACCCGATGTCAGATTAGACACAATATTGAATTTACCTGGGCTGGTTAGTCCGATGATAATACCTCAAGGCCATCGCCCCTGTCTCTTATACACATCTAGATGTGTATAAAAAAACAATTCTACCCTGTAAGCACTAGGGCCATTACCCAACTTCGACTTCGCTGGAAACTCTGTGACACTTTCCCTTTTTCAGAGGCTGGGATTTCAGGAGTAGAGTTGGCGCACTCTGTTCCTAGACATGTCTCGGCCTCGAGGGCTGAGGTCCCACTACTAGCAAAGAGGGCCGGATCAAATGCCTGAATCTGGAATGTGTTTTATGCAGAGATGCAGAAAAGCAGTTCAATCTTGATTTCCTGCACCTCTCTACAAAGACGTCCAGATGCAGGCATTCGATCCGATCCTCTTTGCTAGTGGGACCACGCCCGAGGCGGTGGGCCGGTGGCCTCTTCAGTCAGTCAGCAAGGGGGATAAGCTCCCAGCTCTGCTCGCAAGCTAAACTGGCTGATGCTGCCAGGATAACTCCAGGTTGAATTGTGAGGTCCCCGGCCTCAATTCAACCTGCTGTAACGGATTTGTTTGGAAAAACAAAAAATGAAAAGCTAAAAACAAAAATGCCTCGCAATCCGGCGGCCTAGCTCAGTTGGTTAGGCATGCAAGTAGCATTCAGGAGGTTGTGGGTTCGAGCCCCACAACCGCCTGCAGCGCACTTAGTGCGATACCTCTGATCGGTAATAGCAGGGTCCTTGGCCAACACGGGTGTGAGTGTGAGTGTGAGTGGGTTGTGTGTGGTGTGTGGGAGAGTGTTGGCCTTAGACACTGCTGTTGTTCGGTTGGGGGTGGGGGACGATGAAAAGGGAGGCGCAGCTACTGGCAAAATGCTCGGTCTTTGCGTTAGCCGGAACCCCACCGGCGGGCCCACCCCATCCTTGACCACCATGGTTGAGGCCGGGGGCAACATGCATCCCCTCTGATGGCTGGAGGGAGACAACAAAGCTATGTTTGCAGGGGTCCCCTGTCTAAGCCTTAGGAGTAGTGGTAGGTAGGTAGTGAAGGTGAATTTGAAAGAATTTGAAAGATGATGAAAGATTTGAGAGAGGCCTAGCTCAGTTTGTTAGGCATGCAAGTGGCATTCTGGAGGTTGTGGGTTCAAGCCCCATTGCCGCCTGCGGTGCACTTAGTGCGAACGGACTGTGATAGTCCTCTGGATACCCCTGATCGGTATTAGCGGGGTCATAGTGGGTTGTGTGTGGTGTGTGGGAGAGTGTTGACCATAGCCTCTGCGGCTACTCGATGAAGGGTGGGGGACGATGAGAAAGGGAGGCACAGCTACTGGCAGGTCTCGGTCTTTGTGTTAGCCAGACCCCCACTGGCGGCCCCAACCCTATACCCTAACCATTAGGGGCAAGGGGCAACATGAAATCTCCCCCTCACAGAGAGAGGAAACTATGCTTGCAGGGGTCCCCTCTAGATAGTCTTAGGAGTAGGTAGTGGAAGGTAAAGAAACAGAAGTTGAGAGAAGAATATAGAAAAAAAAAGAAAAAAAAAAAAGAATATAGCGCAGTTTAAAAAAAAAAAAAACAAAACGCCTCGCAGACGACGATTGACCTTTCCGTCTCTGTGGCCTCTGCTCCACTACTCAACCTTCGACACGTATCGGGATGGAGCCATCGGCCGGGTACATTTGCAATACTGTCCAGTGGAAGGAGGTCCTCCTCCCTCTCCTCTGTCTCTCTCTCGGGGAGCTCGGCCTGGTGTGGGGTGACTCGGCTCTGTCACACCATCACACGCGGCGTGACGCAGCCATCGCCATCGCCATCGCCATCGCGCTCTCTTGTCGGCACAGGGACAGCTGGCATGGCCGCGCGCATGGCGTCCACAGCGCATGGCCTCCACAGCTAGGGGTACAAGCATCCCGATCCGGACGCCATATCCATCCCAGTGATGTTCTCTTAGCGAGCGCTGTTGCCATAGCCATCGCGCTCGCACCGATCCCGATCCCGATCCCTTTCGCTGGGACGCCCTTTTCTCGCCACGGTCCGGACGCCATCGCCGCCGAGCTCAGAGGCAGGTGCTCGCTTCTCTTTCGCTTCGTCCTCCCTTGCGACTGGCGCTTGTGGAGTTTACCACCTCCTCCTCGTCCTCCTCCTCCTCCTCCTCCACCTCCTCCTCCACCTCCTCTCCCTCTCCCTCCCTTGCGACTGGCGCTTGTGGAGTTTACCACCACCTCCTCCTCCTCCTCCTCCTCCTCCTCCTCCACCTCCTCTTTCTCTCCCTCCTCTTCCTCGTCCTCCTCCTTCCCTTTTGTTGTCGCCCCTCCTTTTTCGTGTCCTCTCACGCTTGGGTCTTGTTTTGGGGCAGAATGTGTGCCGTTAAGGTGGTCAGATACATTCCAGAAAGTCGTTGTATGAGTGTGGCGTTATGTATTACTTCTTCCTGTTCTCCTCCTCCTCCTCCTCCTCCTCCTCCTCCTCCTCCCC